GGTATCCAGCCAGATTCCTTTTGCTACTCTCTCGTACTTCTCTGCCATTCGTTTTGAAGAAGCGTTAGAATGGTGTGTGTTAATTATGGGATCCACATGAATTGGTTTTGCAGCGAAAAAGCTATGTACAAGGATTTTATTGTGGACAAAAGAAAATAGAATTTAAATTTATCCTTTTTTATTTCTTTATTTTACTTAAAATTGTATACCTACATAATTAAAACAATCTTTAAACTCAAAAGAAAGGCTTTTAAAAATTAGAAAAGAGACAGCCAAACAAACAAAAAATAAAAATGAATACAGAAAAGAAAAAAACCCTTATATTTTATACTTATCAATAGTTATAAGTACGCTACTGTAGACTGTTCTTCTACATACTAATTTACTTGAATTGAGTGATCCTAAATATAATTTCTAAACTGTGAATAGAACTTCTGGTAGATTGCAGTGGTATTCAGTGAGCATTAGAACATACTACATCATAAAATAGTCTGTAGCAGCTTTGCCATCATCCAATCCTGAAGCCATATCTAAAGCTTGCCTTCAGTTGTCTTTTCACATAGATACCGTCTGTTGTGCTTTACCCACTTTCTGCTAGTGAAGTAGTCAGGTGAGCCCCCTCGAGCAGAGGTGGGCAATTAATTTCCCCAAGAGACTACATGAGAAACTGGGACTGTTATGGAGGGCAGATGTGTAGGAATGCCCATATGCCCATAAGTAAGTTGAAAAAAGAAAATCAGTCACCTTCAATATAAAAGCAGTCACTTTCAAAATAAAAGCAGTCCATTTAGGCCAGACAGAGACAGCCAAACGGCCAAATGTGGCTCGGGAGTCATAAACACCCAGGTCTACCCTGGAAAGTGGGAAGAGCTGTACTTTTTTTTTAAAATAATGCTAAATCTGCATCCAAAAGAAATATTTCAGGGAGGACTAGCCACCTAGTAAATCATATTGCCTCTCCCAGTTCTATCCCAAGAAAAAGGACTAGTGGATGCTCTCCTAATGCTCTCCTAATAACTGATGAATTTGTATAAGTGAAGGAAAGCTGAGAGGAGATATTCAAACTTTATCTTTAACATGTTCTGGATAATTGACAATGTGCCTTTAGCAGGATAAGAATTGCTGGTGGAGCCGTCACATTTTAAGCCAGTGTTCTTTCTGCTGGCTCAAGGACTAATACATAGAATTTTAATTCACTGGTGAAGAAGTACCATTAATGTGTTTTTCACTTTGTGCTCTGCCTTGCATCTTGTTTCTCAAGGAAAATGTATGAAGTCTGACATCTGAAATATTCTGGTATTGTTCTTTTTAGGCTTTTCCTAAGGATCCTCAAGTTCATTATAATGAACAACCAAAATCCTATTTGAAGATTCATTTTTAATCAAATAGTTAAAGGCTCAGTACTGATACATTTAACTGATTTACAAGCAGAGAGGGCTAGAGAAGAACAAAAAAAAATTAAAGATTTGGTGTTCTATTTCTTAAACTTCAGAGCTTCAGAAAAGTTTTCTGAGCCTGCTTAAAGAGAGAGGTATAGTCAAGACATGCTTTCTTTGTAAAGTAATATAGCCACCAATATTGGGGAAAGAAACGTAACTCACTCCAAAGGTCCCGAGTTCAGTCCTTGGCATTTCCAGCAGAAAGAATCTTAGCTAGTAGTCCCATTTTTTTTAATTACATTCCCGTTTTCAAAAAGCTCTGTGCTACGTCCAGTAACAGGGTAAATAGAAGTGATCCTGGATTCATGAAGTGGAAAATATATATTAGTCTAGCACAGCTGAATATGGCAGGCAATTGAACAAAGCCGAATCAGGCAGGCAGTTTATTGTTGCAAAAATGCTTCTTGCCCCATTTCACTTCCTTTCCCAGTCACTCCTGGAGGCCAACTATTAGTATAATTCTTGTAGGATATTCTATTTGATGCCATATTCTTAATTTCTGCTTAATGGCACATACCATTCATCGCATAAGTCACATCCAGTGCAAGCCTTCTATCAGTTCTGACAAACTGAAAATGCTCAAGCTTAAAATATAGGACCACCTGCTATGTAGATCCACTAACAAAAATGTGCCCCTATCTTTTTTTTTTTTTAGAAAAGTAACATAAAATCTTCCCCAGAAAGCAAAAGACAAAACAGAACTTCACATTTCAATAAACTCGTCTTTAGATAACCTTCCATCTCTAAGTTACCCATTGATTGGATCCTGGGAAATCTTGTTTTTCAATTAGCTTTAAGTTCATTCCAACATGGCCTTTGGAAGAAAAAGAGTCTTGTTCACTCTGGTTGATAAATCCAATTGGGATTTGGAAGAGGTGGAAAGTTACGGTAGTTTTCTTGGATCTTTAAGTGGTAATGAACTGCATCTTTACATCAGAATTAGGAATTATGTGGTTCAAAACAGCTCCATTCTTTTTGGGAGGGAAAGGTGTGGGATTCTCAGGGCCATTAAATTACAATACAAGGTAACTTTTCCAAGTATCTTTTAATGGTTGTGGAAATCATTGAGGAAAAAACTTCCAGTGATTTTGACTAAAAGGTACTCAGTAAATGGATGAGACACAGTTCTTCCTTCCGCAGGAAAGCTCTGCAGTTTTAGAATGGTTTAAGGGCAAATAGGTAAAGCCTTGTGGGTCAACAAGACCACCATCTTTTATGTAAAATTGCACATATAATATAAATCTTACCGACAGAAGATGGTTTTGGCCCAGTGCTACATAGTTTCTGAACTCTGTGCATGAAGATGGTGCTTTCAATTCGTATATAATTACTCCTGTATACTCTTTTGATTGCTTTGAAGAAGCTAGACCTGGTCCCTTGGCAGCACCCAGCTGGTTGCAAACAGTAATGCTGATGTACAACTGTATATACAACATATAGATAGATTCACCCATAGTTTCAATTGGAAAAATGCGACCATCCTAGACCAAGCCAAGTCCAAAAACATCAGGGAATTTCTAGAAGCACTCTGATAAACCAGCCATCAATAGACACATGGACAATAACATCTGTAGACTATGCAAAAGGGACTGTCATCCAGTCCAAAAAGTAATAAAAAAATCCAAGCACCTCTCCACCAGCAATCAGCACTCAGATCATCATAGATTTACTCCAAGGTTAACATCAGATCAACAATCAAGTAAACAAAACCCCAATCAAGAAACTGCCAAAGAAGCCAACAGCAAACAGCTTAACCAAGAATTTCTAAGACCGCCCTCACCAACACTTGACAGGGCAAGCACCAGAATATAAACTGAGAGCAAACCACACTCCTTACTAGCACTGATGATGTTACCTAGTTTTGTTAATGAAATGTCTGTAAGAAAACAAGCAAGCTCAGAGAGCACCAAGGACGCCCCCCCTCATTTCAACCCTAAGCTACAAATATTCTCCTTTATTGGTACTATGTCTGTACCTTTGCACTGATACAACCAAATTCATAAATGTACGTATTCTATTTCTCTCCCCCCGCACTCTGCTTCAAAATAAGGGTAAAAAGGTTCTTATAAAACTAGGCTTAGAATTTCATTCCTTCATTTCTTCTAATTTCATAGCAATTTGTCCAAGCAGTGATATATCAGAGCGTTCATTTTCTGCAACATATTGTTGCTCCAAGCTTTCTTAATTCCGCTTTAAGTTTATACAGGCAAAAAAAGGGGACATTATAAACGTTGGCTATACCAGCCAGTGCAAATCACAAACTTTACCAGGGGCTATTCGTGCTCTGTCGCAGCATCAGGAAAACAAAGCATATGTTGGATGTTAGCCTAGCTGTACACAATGTGTCCTATTTATTCAAGGTTTCCTTTGAAGCTACAACTTACAACTTTGTTTCTTAAGGGTACATGTCAGCTTCATTTAGCCTTTGTTAGCATTTGGATACTCTTGAATAGCAAAAAAAAAAGGCAACATTTTGGGGGAGAAATGCGGCTGCTATCTGAGCAATGATCTGTCATTTTCCCTTATGCATCTGAAGAAAAATTAAAAAAGGGGCACAATGTAAAAGCTAAACTAAGATTTCTTGTAACCAACTTTTTCTTTATTAAAACTGGGGAAGCCTATAGGAAGCCCTATAGGACCCCGCATACTTTTTCCTTAGTGATTCCTTTTTAAAAAAACCAGAGGTCCCCAATCCCTGGGTCATGGCCCACTACTGGGCCACGAGTTATTCAAAACCGGGCCACCCGAAGCAGCACACGAACGTGCATGCACATACCCTCCTTGTGTGGGCAGCAAGCGAATGCATGCATATGTGCTCCATTTATGTGAACAGCAGGCAAATGGAGCTGCGTGCACACATGCACTTGCCCACTGCTCACGCTGNCCCCAGCCAGCGAATGCTGGCTGGGGAATTCTGGGAGTTGAAGTCCGGACATCTTTAAGTTGCCAAGGTTGAGAAACACTGTCTTAGCCACAGAAATGTTGGGTTCAATTGTGGTCATAAGTTGTGGACTACCTACCTGTATGTTATGGTGATTAAGATATTGAAGTGGCACAAGGGAGACACAAGTTCTTCTGTCGCAGCATCAGGAAAACAAAGCATATGTTAGATGTTAGCCTAGCTGTAGACAATGTGTCCTATTTATCCAAGTTTTCCTTTGAATCTACAACTTACAACCTCGTTATTGAAGTGGCACAAGAGAGACACAAGTTCTTGTTCCACTCTTAGCTGTGAAAACCTACTGAGTGACTTTGGCCTTTCTCTCTCAAGCCTCAGCCTATTTCACACAGTTGATGTTGTGGTGGAAAATGGAGGAAGGAGAATGTGAACACGATATTGAGCTCCTGAAGAAACTTTGAGATATATTTTAACAGTTTTCTGCAATTTTTTTTTTCCTGATCAAAGAATGACCTGTACAAGTTTTTCTAACAATCATAATTTCTAAAGTTTTTTTTAATACTTCAGGGAGTCTACAAAATAGCAACAGATGATTGTTTGACACTATCATTGACAATCAGTTCAATAAATTCTTTTTTTTTTTTACTCTTACTTTTTTTTAGTATAGAATGGTGAAAGAAGCTCTCCATGAACGTGCCAACCTGCTTGAAATTGCACCTCATTTATCTGCTCCTCTACCTATAATGCTTCCAGTTTACAAGTAAGTTATTCAAAATATATCCTATTTGATTTGCTTGGCAGTTTATTCTTACATTTTAATCTGTGTCACTGTATAGGAATTATAGTGTTTTTTTCCTATGGGTTATTCTTCTATTTTGTTTTGTTTTGCTTTTGCTAGTGCCAAACCAATTTTTTTTCTTCACAAGAACAAAATATTGCCATTATTTTGGAGAAGTGTAATGTGAAATCTTTTGAACCATTGATTCTAGTTGTTTTAATTTGGTATGGCAAATGCACAAAGAATCCTGTTGGCATTTTACTGACAGATTGATTACAGTGGCAGAAACCTTTGATGTGGCTATACCATAACTGTGCTTGAATTAAATCTTGATTAGCCATCTCAGAACTGAAATTTACGTGTGTATGTGCATCAGTGTTTTATGTGCATTTATTTATTTATAATGATATCTACTTTCTAAGCGGACCCATGTCTGCATCTCTGTGATATAAAAAGGGAGAAAATGAGATGCAAATGTATGCATGTTGTTAATTTTCCTGACTTCTCAAGTGCCTTGAGAAAGAAAAATACATAAGTAGCTTTTTTACTCTGTTTAGACAGACCAATACTTTGCCTTAAATTAGTCAGTGAGCTGTGAAAAGAGAGTATCCAATTAATGTTCTTGAATAATAATAATTTATTAAACTTGAATTATGCCTGATTCTCAATTAATCTGGAAAATCAAAGAATTTATAATAAAACCAATAAAAATGTAAATAAATGCACAAAGATATGCTGTTTAGGACTTGCAGAAGGATGCATCTGAGGGGATGTTACAGGAAGAGAATATTTAAATGTTTTGTAACTTATCTATTTGAATTTTGATCTTTGGAGTGGTAGTGGGGGACGGATGTTAGCCTGAGATGATGCCAGGGACTCCAAATTACTTTCTTAAGTGAGTGACGTTTTGAGACTTAGTTTCACACATCCCACCACAATGACTCACAAAGAATACACTGAGCAGGGGAAACATCAAGGATTGGAAAGAGAAGTCATCAAACCTAAATAAACATATTGCGCTCAGATAATGTGATGTTATTATCCAAGAAAAATATGGTGATGCTACAGCATTCCCAGAACATGTCTTCCAAGTATAATTCTGGCACATTGTACTTTCCATATCTCATGGTAAAAGTATACAAGCTTGCTTTGCTCTCCATCAGTTCAGACGTTTTACAAGAAAGGGAATTTTGAAGCATCATCTGAGTCATTTAAATAAGACGTCTTGTTATGTAAGAAGCTTCAAATGCCTGTCGGCTGCTTATTTATGTACTGTTGTTAGAAACTTGTTAACTAAACATTAGAAACATTAGTATGCAAATCATCAGTCATTGCTTTCTTTTGCCCAAGCATGCACAATTTCTGTTGCCTTAAGAGCTGCAGCTGGCTTTATGTTATCCAACACTTTATTCCAAAAAATTGGCAAGGCCAGGCCCAATATGGAAGTGGGAGTTCAGCAGCTTTAAGGGTTGAAAGGTCTTTTAAGTACCTGTGAAATTTAAGGCATTTAAAGGAATTCCATACCTGAAGAACGTTAAAGACTAGCCCGTGGGATGTAATAATTGTTTAAATGCACCTTGTCAAAGTAAAATGGAGAGTGACTGTTTTTCTCAGTCTGTGACTCAACTGTCCAGTGAAGTTGGTTTAATCAACTATGTTTTGAAGAGGATGACACAGAGAAAGTTAGCCTCGGGTTCCTACTAATTCCAAATTCACATAAATAGAATTGGGTTTTATTTTGTTTTTTTGATAAAACACCTGATGGACTTCATAGCTTGTTAAACAAGCTTCCTGAATAATGTAAATGGAATTATATGCTACAGGTTATTGTCCTGGTATCTGTATTTTCCCCCTCTTCCTAGTTGAATAGTGACTATATTTCCCCTGCAATAATCTTGAATAGGTCCTTGCTGATCAATTCTGGCTGACTGTAACAACCAAGAATAACATTCGTTAGCCAGTTTGAAGTTGAACATATTTTCAAAACTGCTACTCATGTTTACTTTTAAGACCCATTGATGTCAGTAGATGTGTCTCCAAATCAGTTAGTTTGCAATCTCAAATATTGTTTAACGTTTTCATGTTCTAGTACAAAGGCCTATCTGTGGGGGTGGGCAGGGGGGTAGTGAAAACAGTAAAGATAATTATTTTAATATCCTGACCATAGGATAAGACACATGGTTCAGCCAGGTAATTGTAGAGTTTTAAGCTGCTGTGTAATTCATATGGCACTAAATATAATTTTGGTGGAAAGAAATGATTTATATTTAAAGATATTTTCATTGAGCACTGATCATTCTTTGTATGCTAGGATAGTTGCCCCCAATCATTAATATATTTTAAAATAAGAACATTAGAAAACAATATGAGCTGCAGTGAATCCTCAGTTTTCCATGTTAAGCCTATGAATCTGTTTGCTCATTTCTCTGGCTGGATTCGTGTAAAAGGATAGGATAGGCTAAAATGGATTTGAATAGCTTTTGACTCAGTACTGTAGGAACCCAAGCATTATCTTAGTATGTTACATAAACCAGGGCACCAGGTTAAGGCAGTTCATTTAGATATTATGGGAATAAGTCCCTTGTATTGTATTAAAATGAGATTAGAAGATGTGTTATCTGAATGGTCCTTCTTTCCCACTTCAAGTATTTGATGCTTGGATCCAGCTGTATAGTAAAATTTCATAGCCAACTGGACACTGGGAGACCTTGGTCCCAGTGTCCAGTTCTTTTTACTGAATTGATTGCATGCTAACTGATTTGGAGCCTATTTTATAAATTACAGTTTCAGCCCTTGCAAATAAAATGTATTTATATTTGGGTGTGTTTGTATATCCTCTGCTTTTCTTCCCAGAAACTTAGGATCACTTCAATAAATAACAAAATGAATTTTAAAAACACCTATCAAATTGAATAAAATAGTAATTGGAATAATGATATCTCTCTTCTTCTTGGGTGGCCTCTTAGTTGAAACATTGGCTTGCAGAATTCCCTTGTGATCTTTTGAACAGCTTTCCCACGCATATCCAGATCTATTCTGATTTTTCTAAATTCTGTTTTAATTTTCAGATTTGTTTTAAAAGAATGTCCATTGCAAAAAAAAATGGATTTGTTTCACATGCTTACGTATTTATTTGTCTTTTTTTTTTAGGTGGTGGCAACTGCCTTATTACTGGGTGGGAATTAAGATGTATGACCTTGTAGCAGGAACCCAATGTCTGAAAAGCAGCTACGTGCTTAGCAAATCCAAAGCTTTGGAACTCTTTCCTATGTTACGAAAGGACAGACTTGTGGGCGCCATAGTCTACTATGATGGTATGTCCTCCCCTTTCTTGCCAGTGTAAAAAGCAGAAGCTTTGATCCTAGTGGTGAATCTGAGTCCATTCTATCACTGTAGCTATATTGCAGAGGTAGTATATGGCCCTTAGATTCATACATTTCTCCCTTTGTATATCTTTGCACACACACCCCTTGCAAGAGTTTTTAAGTACCAACTGCTTTTTTCACCTGCTGCACTGTTTTGCTAATCAGTTAGAAAAAGTTGCCCTAACTTTCATTAAGCCTTGGTAGTGCAGTGGTTAGAATGCAGTATTGCAGGCTAACTCTGCCCATAGCCAGGAGTTTGATCCTGACTGGCTCAAGGTTGACTCAGTCTTCCATTCTTCCAAGGTGGGTAAAATGAGGACCTAGATTGTTGGGGGCAATAGGCTGACTCTGCAAAACAGTGTACAAGGATATACTGTATTTTTCGGAGTATAAGACGCACCAAGGTTTTGAAGAAGCAAATTTAAAAAAGCAGTTGGTACTTAAAAACTCTTGCAAGGGGTGTGTGTGCAAAGATATACAAAGGGAGAGATGTATGAAT